AAAGGGAAAGAGAATCCCCAGCAGGCTACAGTGAGGAGCCCGATGTGGGACTCAATCTCACTAACAGAACCCTGTGATCACAACCTGAGCCTAAATCAAGAGTTGAATACTTAACCGACTGAGCCACCCAGGTGCCCCTACAAAATCTTTTGTGATATGTATACACATTTTAGAAAGGAAGTGACCTGCTCAAACAAGTGCATAGGTGTGAATAGCTTCCCGTGCTAGTGGTATACAAGAAACATACCCACAAGAAATGGAAGAGGTATTGGAGTTTTCCTCTAATCCTACCTACAAGGGCAGTAAGCAAGTGTTGCCTCCACCTTTTCCTTTATCAAATCAATAGAGAAAGATGAGTGAATAGAATTCTGTTTGCATCAATTTTTAGAAAGAAAGACCTGAGGCCTAGTATATAATAGCTATACTTTCTGAGCACTACTGTATGCCTTACTTATAAGCACCCTGCCATAGGGATGACTGATATCATAGAAACCCACTGAGATACATACTGTCACTCGATTTTATAAATAAGGATCCTGAAGCTCATGGATATGGTCTAAATTACCCATATTAGGCAGCTGGTAAAGCTGGGAGGTGAAATTCAAAGTCACATCTGTGTGTGTGTGTGTGTGTGTGTGTGTGCGTGTGTATGTGTGTGCCCGTGCGCGTGTGCACAGGTACACGTGCAGGTGATGAAATTATTTTGTAGCTACTGTTTTATTTATCAGAGGCATGCAACATTCACATAATTTTAATTCTTTGATCCAAAGTACAGAGTGGAAATTGACATGGAGGGGATATAAAAATAGAATCTGACATGGTAGAAATTACTGATTTTTTATTTTTTAAAATTTATTTTTAGAGAGAGAAAGTGTGTGAGCAGGGGAGAGGGGCAGAAGGAGAGAGAGAATCTCGAGTAGGCTCTGTGCTCAGTGCAAAGACCAACATAAGGTTTGATCTCCCGGCCCTGAGATTATGACCTGAGCTGATATCAAGAGTTGAATGCTCAACCCACTGAGCCACCCAGATGCCCCAGAAATTACTCATTTTTAACGCAACCTGTCTTTCCTTGCTTCTAGTTGCTGTCTTGTATTAGTATCCTTAAAAAAATTAGAGCAAGAAATTAGCACACAGTAGAGGGATTTTCTTTAAAATATGCCTGCCAGAGTCCAATACCATAAATACTCCTGGAAGCAAAGAATTCATTAATTTCACTTGCCAGTTTCATTTTTGGAAAATGCAGTTGGAAAATCCTGGCATATCTTGGACATAATCTTGGTTTTGTTCTTCGGAATATATAGAATGCTGTATTTCTCTTGTGACAGATGGTAATGATGGTGACAACTGCTACGAACAGAATGATAATTTATGAATCAGTTTAATTTGGGGCAGTCTACCTTGAGGTTTCTAATAGTTACATGATTAATTTTTACAGTAATTTTATAGGCAGTAATCCCTGAGAGAAAAGAAACCAATGAGGAATTCACGTGTTCTGTCCCAGTTGACAGCCTGGGAGAGGCTGCAGCACTGAAGGAGGAAAACAGTAGAGCCTAGCATTCTTACTGAACTCAAGAGACAAGATTGGGATTTGAGAGAGGCCAAGGAGGTCAGAATTTGCCAAAGTAGTAAAGAAGACGGAGCGGTGCATTTAGGGGAGCCTCACGTGCAGAGGGTTCTTCTGGAGTCTTTGGCTGAATCCTGATCTAAGTGACATTTGTGGGACGTTCTACCCCACCACCCCAGAACACACATTATTTTTCCAGTGCACAGAGGCTATATTTTCATATAATACCTTATTCTGGGCCATGAAGTAAGTCTCCGTCAAGTTAAGGGGAGTGAAATAATGCAAAGTAAGTTTTCTGAGTCCAACCAAATTAAAATAGAAATCATCAAGGGAAATGTATTTGGGATCTCCTCAAATATTTGGAAATGAAATAATATACTTTTAGATAACATAGGGGTCAAGGAATAATTCGCAAAAGAAAATAGAAATTATTGGGAGGTGAATGCAAATAGAATACAACATATGATTTGTGCAGTGAATGCAGTGGAAGTGGTGCATAGAGGAAATACTTGCATCACATACATAGAAAAACAATATCTCAATGACCTAAGTATATTCTTGAAGAAATTAGAAAAGGAAGAGCAAATGAAACCTAAACTAATCAGAAAAGTGAAATAAAAATGAGAGCTGATATCATTGAAAAATAGAATAGAACAGTAAGAGGGAAAATTAGTCAAATCAAAAGCTGATGCATTAAAAAAATTAATAAACCCCTATTTGTCAAGAAAAAAAGATAAAAAACACAAATTCTTCCAGGCACCTGGGTAGTCCTATCAGTTCAATGTTTGACTCTTAATTTTGGCTCGAGTCATGATCTCAGGGTTTGTGAGTTTGAGCCCCACATTAGTATCCATGCTGACAGCACAGAGCCTGCTTGGCATTTCTGCTCCCCTCCTCAGCTTGTGCTTTCTCTCTCTCTCTCTCTCTCTCTCTCTCTCAAAATAAATAAACTAAAAAACCCCCACAATTTTTTCTTCCCAGAAGAAAGATTAGTAAGTCTGAACAGCATTATATCTAACAAGAAATTGAATTTGTAGTTAAAAACTCTACTGAGGCAAAAATGACTCACCTCATGATTCTATCCAACATTTAAGAGGCTTCAGTCACCTAGATGCTCTTTGTAGGAGTCAAGTTGAATTATCCCCTCACTCTTTTTGCTTTTCTGTCCCATATATGTGGAATGGAAGATACTTCATGTGGAGTATTTTGTTCCCTTTATGTCACCAGATTATGAAACCTACCATGTTTCTTAATTCCCAAAGACCACGGGGATCCAAAAAAAGTTACATCATATTATACATATATTTGCAAAATTTCCATCGAGTGCTGCTCTAAACACTTGTTTACATTACAACAGAACTTGGAAGAACTGAGAACTGTTCTTGGTGATACTCCGTGACATCACAGTAATTGTCTACTACTATCTACATCATCCTCTCCCACTAACCACCAACCCCTTATTATTACGTTTCTGGAGGTCGTACCATCACCATTTGCTGTGTTCCCTGACATATTTGTCATCAGTTATTTTTGTGTTGAGATTTTCTAAATGAATTTTTATAAAAACATCCTTTTAGGAAAATTCCATTCTTTTTCTAAAAGTTTTTAAAATGTTTATTTATATTTGAGAGAGGGAACAGGGGCAGAGGGTTAGCAGGGAAGGGGCAGAGAAAAAGGGAGACACAGAATCTGAAGCAGGCTCCAGGCTCTGAGCTGTCAGCACAGAGCCCGACGTGGGGCTCGAACCCACTAACGTGAGATCACAACTGAGCTGAAGTCAGAAGCTGAACCGACTGAGCCACCCAGGTGCCCAAAGAAAATGCCATTCTTAGGATATTCTTTGGATGTATACATAGAGCCATAGGTAAATAATATTTATGGTCTTTTCATACACTTAATTTTGCCAATAAAATATAAATGGGATTACATATTCTCTGTCTTCTCTAAATTTTGACTTAACTGCATGACAGATTTTTATTCAAATGGGATAGTAATAGTTTATTAGTTATATACATCACAAATCTTGAAGTTTATAGGCTTGAGATCATTGCATGCCATTTATGTAAATCTTTTTGTAAACAACTATATAACAGTCCATTATATGAGAGCCCAATAATTTACTTAAACTGCTAATATAACTTTTTAGTTAAGAGCTCTGTCACCTATTATCTTTTACTTTGGATAAGATATTTAGTCTCTCCAACATTCTGCTTCATATTTAAAACAAGGAAAAATATTTCCTCTTTCATATGGTTGTGATTGAGATTAGAGAAATAAGGCAACTAATTACTCCCGGAGCAGGATTTCTCAACCTCACCACTAATGACATTTTGGGTAGGATCAATGCTGTTTGGGGGGCTGTTTTATGCATTGTACGATGCTTAATAGCATGCCCCGGCAGGAGAGGCAAGAATGTCTAGCCATGCCAGATTCTGCAGTGTCCCTCCCTGGAGTGGGAGACCCAAATACATCCACTGAGAATCACCATTGTACACAAGTGGTATCAAGTCTGCTACATGAAGCTGGACATACACAAAGCAAAGGCTTCTGGAATGATCTTTGTACCGACTGCATTATGGGTGGCTCTTGCTGCACTTGTGCCTGGTAGTGGCCGTTAAGAAAGGTTCCCATGTTGCCAGGGTTTTATGTTGCTGCCATTTTTACACGGACACAAATAACAATAATTTCACAATACCACAGTCAGTTACGTAGATCATCGTGTACCTCTATGAGTATATCTACCAGCAATATTCCTGGAGATGTTATCTTTGAGGAGAGAGGCAACACAGGGCTTGCAGTATTGAAATTTTGGTGTATTCTGCTAAATCACCTTCCAAAAATGCTAGACCAGTTTACACTCTCACCTACTGTACCTAAGAGCGCCCTTTTCCTTGTAATCCTCATCCATAATGAATATTAACATTCTCTTTATGAAAGCATATTTTATGAATTTTTAATATTTTTTCATAACTCATCTTCTGTGGTTTACATGCACATAATCATTGCCTGTTTTCCATTAATCCTTTTGTCATTAAAAGCTACACCTCAGTCTCCAATAACACAACTATTCAAGGGAACAGAAAAGCACAGAGATTAAATACAGCTAGCACCCAGGTCTCATGGATGTTAACATTTTGCCATTTTTGCTTAAGACTTCTGACATTTTGCATATAATATTGAACCCCTCATGGTACTCTTCCGCAACCACTTTCTTTTCTGAGTCCCCATATGTAACCATTGGTCTCCAATTTGTATACATATTTTCCATCCATACTTTAATAATTGTATTAAATAGGTATGCATCCATAAAAATGTATAATAGCATTGTTTTCTATTATAAAAATTTGTGCAAATGGAATCATACCGCACACAACTTTCTAGAACTTGGCTTTTTATAATTCCTATTGTTTTTTTGAATTCTTGAATTTAATTTTTTAAAAATCTGGAACACTTCATGAATTTGCCTCTTACTCTTGTGCTGTGGCCATGCCAGTCTTTTCTGTGTTGATCTAGTTTTACTACATATGCTGCCAAAGTGAGCACATCTTGTCCACCTTTTAACTGTAATGTTTGTTTGTGTACTGTATAGTTTATACATTCTCCTATTGATAAATATTCATTCGCCTCTCCCTCCCTTTAGTTTTTATAATAATGATCATCTTTTCATGAGTTTGGTGTGCAAACGTGTGGGAATTTCTCTTGGGTGTACACTATCAATAATATGTTGCCTTAGGAGATACTCATCTTCATATAATTATTATAAATCAATATATGAATGTATAAATAATATAATTATAAAAATATATAAATATGTTATTTATAATTTGTATTATATCATAAAATATATATGAATATATAAATTATATATTATAATAATATAATTATTATAAAAATAAATAATATATTTGTTATATATTATCAAATTGTTCTTCAAGGTCATTATTGATACTTTTTCCTCTTGGCTGCTGTGTGTCTTCCCACACCCATAGCAACAAACTCATGATATTGTCAGATTGTTATTTTTTTCTTCTAATCTTTACTCATATTTTTGTAATTGGTAGAACAGAAGAATTTGTTTTTAAAAATGGGAAAACTGAGTAATGCCACAACTCACTTTATTTAACTGGCACTTGCAGAAGATTTTGTATTTAATGCACATAGAACAGTAATCAAGCTAGATCACAAGTGAGGCTGTGAAATCTTCTCAACAAATTTCTAATAACTGAAAACTTACTGATGTATTCTCTAGCAACAGTGGAATCAATGAAAATCAGATACAAAACAATATCTCAAAATTAGTATAAAATTGTAAGTAGGAGGTGCCTGGGTGGCTCAGTTGGTTAAGCGTCAGACTTCAGCTCAGGTCATGATCTCACGGTTCATCAGTTTGAGCCCCACTTTGGGCTCTGTGCTGACAGCTGAGAGCCTGGAGCCTGCTTCTAATTCTGTGTCTCCCTCACTGTCTGCCTCTCCCTGGCTCACACTCTGTCTCTGTCTCTCTTTCAAAAAATAAACAAACGTTAAAAATTTTTTTAAAAATCATAAGTGAGACAGTACACTACTGAATAATGCATAGATAAAATAAAACAAGGGAACTTAAAAAATATTTTGAAATGAATGAAAATGAGAATACCATATCAAAATATATGTGATACAGCTAAGTAATACTTATGGGAAAAGTTCTGTCATTAAATACTTAGGTCAGGAAATAAGATTGGAAAAGAGAAGCAAACCCAAAAAGTTTAGAAGAAAGGAAATAATATATGGAAGAATGGAAATAATTGAAGTTAAATAAAGCAGAAAAATTGGAGAAAAAATTTCTGAAAGTGATAAAATTGCTGTTGATCAAAGTAAAAGAAAACACAAATGATCAATATTAGGAATAAAAAGAGGACTTGCAAAAGTTTCTTTGGAATTGAAATTATAATCATTATAATAAGGAAATATTATAACCCCTTTATTTCAAGAGCGTTTACAACATTACATGAGAGGGACAATCCTTGAAAGATACATATTAATAAACTGACTTAAGAATCAATGCACAATCTCTGTGGGGCCCTAAATATAGTTTAATTGAATTTGTAGTTAAAATTTTTCCCACAGAGAAAATACCAGGCCCAGAGATCTTCCTTAGTGAATTTCATCAACCATCTAAAGATGAAAGACTACAGATTCTTTCAAGTAATTTGAAGGGACACAGCACATCTTGATACTTTTATGGGGCCAGCACAATCCTGACATCAAAAACAGATAAAGACAATGTAAGGAAAAAACATGTAGTCTAATTCGACAGAAACATAGACACTAATATTCTTGCCAAATATGAACAGATCAAATCCAGCAATATATATAAAGGATAATACATGATGAGCAGAAAGAATTTATCCCAAGAATTCAAGGATGGCTCTACCTTAAAAATATCTAGCTATAGTGTCATTCACTATACGAAACAAATGAAAGAGAAAAACTATACCAGTAAATGCAGAAACATATTTTAACAAAATTCAACATTAATTTATGGTAAAAGTGGTCAGCAAGCCAAGACTAGATTGTACCTACCAAAACCTCTTAAAGCACATCTACAAAAAAACAAAACAAAACAACCCCTCCAAAAAAAAAAACAAACAAACAAAACCAAACCAAAACTTCCATGGTTGACATTATTTTTAAATGCAAAAGACCATGTACTATCAGCAATGAGACAAAGATGCACATTTTGACCCCTTCTTTTTAACATTGCATTTTGGAGTCCTAAACCAGTACGATAAGCAAAAGTAAATAAACTTAAAGATTCAAGATATGTGGGTAGAACAAGTAGAGCAAAATTGTCTTTATTTTTAGACAATGTGATCATATATGTGGAAAATCCTAACGAACCTATAAAAAAGCTCCTCAAACTAAAAAGTGAGTCCAGGAAGGTCACAAAGTGTAATGCCAATTTCTAATAAATGAGTGTGTGTGTGTGTGTGTGTGTGTGTGTGTGTGTGTGTGTGTGTGAGAGACAGAGAGAGAGGGAGGGAGAGAGGGAGAGGGAAGGAGAGAGGAAGGGAAGCAAGGAGGGAAAAGAAGATGCCAGTTCTTTTCTCCTTTGCCTCTAGTATTCTCTTGCTCACCCCTGTCAGGCTCACATATTGTTTAGCTTACTGCACGTGAAACTTGAATCAGATAGTCTTTCCCATATAGTTATTACTGATCAGAGTTAAGTTGAGGCAACTAAAACTTCTTTCTTAGATGTCTATACAACCTATGATTGATTATTTTCTCTTTTCAGAAGTATAGTTGGGCCCTGTCAAGCTGTAGAGAAAATTTCGAGTCAGAGCTAAAAAAGCTAGATGGTAATTTTTCAACATATGATGTTATTTTTTATATAAATAAAATGTATTTCAACAATAAAGTTAAACTCAGTATTTTAAAGTTCTATAAAGTTGCTTAAAAACTCACTCTGTAGTAAGTAAATACTAAGTATTTCTATTTTATGGCCTTTGAGGTCTGTTTTTAAATTTAATAAAAGTATGTCTCATAGTAACTGTATATATATGTATACATATACATACATATACATATATACACACACACACACGTATATATATATAGCTTATAATAACACAGGACAGACTCAGCTCACTCTCTTGCATAGTGTCTTGATTCAGTTGTAAATGGTCAGATTTCTATTCATGGATCATAATTTATATAAAAATATATAATACAATTACCATATATAGTAATTAATGTAACTGGATTTTAATTTTCTTAATTTTTTTTTAATTTCTGAGAAAGAGAGAGAGAGAGAGAGAGAGACAGCATGAGCAGGGGAGTGTCAGAGAGAGAGGGAGACACAGAATCTGAAACAGGCTCCAGGCTCTGAGCTAGCTGTCAGCACAGAGCCCGACACGGGGCTCAAACCCATGAACTATGAGATCATGACCTGAGCCGAAGTCGGACGCTTAACCAACTGAGCCACCCAGGAGCCTCTTAAAAATTTTTAAAAAGCATTTACTTATTTTTAAGTAAGCTCTAAACCCAACCGTGGGGCTTGAACTCACGACCCTGAGATCAAGATTTACATGTTTGACCAAGCCAATCAGGTGCCCCACTTTTCTCTCTGTTTTTTTTTTAATTGAAGTATAGTNTGAGATCATGACCTGAGCCGAAGTCAGATGCTCAACCGACTGAGCCACCCAGGCGCCCCTAATGTAACTGGATTTTAATGTTTTCTGATTTTCTTCTTTTTATATATGTGAAGTAATAAATATGTTTATCCTTTCTCTTGGTATTTGTACTGAATTCTAAATAGCATAACGTTTTTTAGATGAACTTATTTAGTTTGAAATAATTAATTTCAGTTTGTCCACAGGGGTGGTCTTTGTTCTTACTAATTAAGATTGTAATTAGCAAATCATTAAGAATGTAATTAGTAAATGTAATCAATAAACCATGTGTCTTCAGCTATTTAAAGCAATTTACTCTGGCATATACTGAGTTAGAACTGTATTCATATGTATTCTTTGGGTAGTTCTTGAATCAAACCTAAAGGGATTCATACCCATATATGGATTTGAAGTCTACATGTTGGATAAGTTGAATAAATAATAAGTCACAGATAAATTGCAAGACCAGAAGAAAGCATGAGGCAATGTTGTAACTGTGTATTGTGTGGGTGGTATGATTTTCAGGCCTCTGGTTTTATTTACTTTCTGTTAGAGATCCTTTTAACAGTCATAGGAAAGGAAATATACCAAGCTTTTATGTTGAATTGAAAATCGTAATTATCTAGAGATAAAGTATTTGGGACTTTGTAAGGTAGAGCACAGGAATAGTTCACTTTCTGTAGAGATTTATAGTTGGGTGAAGTGCTTTCACATATATCCTTTCATTTAATGGACAGGAAATGGTTATTTGTAAGATAGGAAAGAGTTGCTTTAATTTCACTCTTAATGTTGCCTTTGTCCTGGTGAAGCTTTATACAGACACTCACACCCATTTTTATCTTCCAGGCATCAGCCCAGCAACTAAGGCTGAAAAGTGAACCACATTTGGTGTGAGTGTTCTTTAAACCGATGAGTGGCATTTAAGGAAGTTAATCCAGAGTATAGAATACATTAAAAAATGTTACGCAGCCTCAGTAGCCCATGAAGATCAGGCTTTTAATGTTACAATTGAGACGGTTTAGCTTCATTTCATAGTTTTGGCTTACTACCCAAGTTGGTAGATAATAACTCTGATGTCATTATCACTTAAGGGCTAGCAGGTATCGAGTGCCTATTATGAAAAGTCAAGTGTGATTTATATACTTAATTAAAACAATTGGTGGGTCTTCTCATCTGAAAACTTTTTATCAGAAGAAAAAAGAAAAGGTGTTGTGGCAAAAGTGAGAGGAGACAGTGCGTCTTGAATTCTCTTTTCTGTACCGTTCCTTGTGTTCTTCTCTCTGACTGGGAAGGTGTTAGTCTATTAGATCTTGTTGGCGGCATGTGGTGGGATGCTCAATGAAGTCACTGTGAAGAAGCTCATTTCAAAACCTACTGGCCTATGGCAATTTCAGT